AAGGAAAGGTCGGGAGTTTTGTAAGTAAATGCAATGTTGATCAGTGGCCTTCAATATATTATATGAATATCGAAACACCCTGTACCGACGTTGGTTGTTATAATTTTTTCTCTTGTTGTGCTGAGATACTGATGAATAATGTCATATCCGTTTCGTCTGACCTGGTTACTATTCACACAGAAACTAACTACACGTGAAAGTTTGGTTTGATCGAGGTAAATGTCCGGTGTGTTCTATACAAACGTGTCCAAGAATCTATATAACCGATACAGACGAGGTCTCTCAATTCACCCTACATACATAAACATATGGTACGTAACAGGAGTGAGTAACATCCGTTAATCAAGAGAAAGGAAGTTGTAAGGGGGGGGGTAAAATAGAGAAGAATGCTATATAGAGCTAACGTACTTGATCAATGTACGTTCAGAAAATGGGATTTTCGAGAATTTGTTATACAATTCAATTTGGTTACATTTTGTTTAGATAGGAGAGAATGGAAAAAATGGATTTGCATTTATCAATTAAATAGAATTTAAATAATAGAACTGAAATTAAAAATATGAAATTAACACTTGGGCTAGTCTTTGTACGAATTACAGTAGAAAGAAATAAACAGAGTATATATACTGTTACCTCTTTTAGTCTTAAATTGGAATGGAATAGAAGGTATTGAAAATAATATCATAATACTTAAGTGGGTTAATGTTTGCTTGGAATTAATTAAAATAAGTTTGTTAGCACTTAGATATTACTATATTGTCTATGTAGGTCTTCATTCGGTGTTATTTAAAAGGAATATAATATACCAACCTGGGTTATACTTTATTAGGAGTTGGGTAAAAGAAATATAATATACTAACCTGGACTACACTTTATTCGTAGTTGAGTAAAAGGAATATAATATACTAGCCTGGGTTATACTCTGTTTGGAGTTTGGTAAAAGGAATATAATATACTAGCCTGGGTTACGCTTTATTCGGAGTTGGGTAAAAGGATATAATACTAAAATGGGTTATGTTTTATTCGAATTGGGTAGAAGGAATAAAATATTATCCTTGGTTAGACTTGATTTAGGGTTGGCTAGGAGGAATATAATAATAACCTGAGTTATACTTCTTTCGGGGTTGGGTAGAAGGTTTGTAATTCTAGCTTGGGTTAGACTTTATCCGGAAACGGACAAAAGGAATATAGTACTACGCTGCGTTAATTTTATTCGAATTCGGTAGAAGGAATATAATAGTTTAGACTTGATTTAGGATTGGCTACTTTGGTTATACTTTATTCTGAGTTGAATAGAAAGAGTTAAAATATTAACCTAAGTTAGACTTTAATCAGAATTGGATAAGAAGAATATATAATAATTACTTGGTTATACTATATTTGGAGTTGGATAGAAAGAGTTAAAATATTAACCTAAGCTAGACTTTATTCGGAGTTGGATAAGAGGAATATATATATAATACTTACTTGGGTTATACTATATTTGGAGTTGGATAGAATGTGTTTAGAATATATTAACCCGGGCTAGATCTTATTCGATGCTGGGCAGAATTAGTAAAACTACCAAAATTGGTTAGATTTTGTTTGCAGTTGGATAAAAAAATTTAGAAATAACATCCTAGGTTAGACTTTATTTTTATTGAATTAAAAAAGTTAAAATAGAATACATAACTATTGTCTTGGGTTATCTTCGGTGAAAATGGATAGATGATGTACAGTAGCATAACTATTGTCTTGGGTTATCTTCGGTGAAAATGGATAGATGATGTACAGTAGCATAACTATTGTCTTGGGTTATCTTCGGTGAAAATGGATAGATGATGTACAGTAACATCACTATTGTCTTGGGTTATCTTCGGTGAAAATGGACAGATGATGTACAGTAACATAACTATTGTCTTGGGTTATCTTTGGTGAAAATGGATAGATGATGTACAGTAACATAACTATTGTCTTGGGTTATCTTCGGTGAAATTGGATAGATGATGTACAGTAACATAACTATTGTCTTGGGTTATCTTCGGTGAAAATGGACAGATGATGTAGTAACATAACTATTGTCTTGGGTTATCTTCGGTGAAAATGGATAGATGATGTACAGAAACATAACTATTGTATTGGATTATCTTCGGTGAAAATGGATAGATGATGTACAGAAACATAACTATTGTATTGGATTATCTTCGGTGAAAATGGATAGATGATGTACAGTACACAACTATTACTCTAGTTTATCCTTTGAGTTAAAAGTGTTGTATACAAAATATGACATTACAAAGATTGTATTTCATTTTCTTGATCTTTTGTATGAAAGTTAAACAAGTTTTTCCTAAAATCAGTCTTTACAACAACATGGCCAGCATCCAAAACATTAAGTAATTATTTTATACATTTGTTTCAGTTTACACAATGTAAGTAGAATTCAAGGAAGAATATGTTAATTACTTCCCCTGTCTATATTTCTGAGGCTTTATTCCTATCTCTTATCACTCCACAATTGAACATAACTAAAATCACAATTTGGTTTCAAAAAATAACCTATTAAAAATATCCATTATTTCTGGATGATTTAAAAGGAAAACAAAAACGTTTAGATTGATTCTCAATAGCTATTCCGGATATTTATGCAGTTAGGTTTTGCGAAATAAATTTTCTGTTTGTTTCATAAAATGATGAAGCCCCTGGAAGGAAACATATTTGTTCTCTATATATTTTATCAGGGCCATGTAAAGGTTAATCTATAAATAACTCGTATTCTTTGTTAGTGAACAAAGCAGGAAAAATTTGGTTAAATGACAACTAAAAGACTTAGAAATTTGAAATATTACAAATTTTTAGCGCAAGTAGGAGTGACCAGTTCAGAAAATAAAAAACAAAACCAAAGAGCGTTTTCTTAGTGTTTCGAGTTTTTATGTGTGCAACTATTGCTCATAAGGGAGAGCTGTAATACATTTTTCAAATATAGCACGTGCTAGTTCATCTTACTTTCTCGTACATCGAAGCACCACCTATATTTTTCCGGAATCCACTTAACGTTTAACACATTTTTTTATTGTAACATCCTTTTATATACTCTGTAACAGCTCCAGTCACCTGCAAGTACGAACAACGCCCAGAACGGACGGTAGTATCCATGGATTTTCTCCAGTTTGCGAATACAGCAGAAGACTGCGAAAGACAGTGTACTGAAGAGATCACTTTTAACTGCAGAGCCTACACTTTCCTAGCCAACAAGTGTTACCTGAGTGGAGATGATGTCATTAGCCTTGGTAACATCGAACTTCCTGAGAAGCAGAGCGCCATCTATGGCGAAAAACAATGCGTTGTTGGTATGTATGTATTATATCAACGTATGATATTTATATCAGATCGAAATGATTGTTAAAAATATTGAAATATCTCCTATCGTCATTTATTTTACGGATGTTGGAAGATAAGCACAAAACTACATTATGGATTACCTGTGCTTCTAGCGTTTTAAGTACATAGACATACCGCTGTGCCATTGGAGGGGGAATTCTTTTACGTAAATACATCATTTTATCCTGTTAGAATCGTATCAGGTTTCAATGACAACATCATGTCATCGTCTTACTTCTTAACAAACTGTATTACAAGCCACATTGGCCCGGCATGGCCAGGTGGTTAGGGCACTCGACTCGCAATCTGAGGGTCGCTGGTTCGAATCCCCGTCACACCAAACATGCTCGCCCTTTCAGCCGTGGGGGGCGTTATAATGTGACGGTCAATCCCACTATTCGTTGGTAAAAGAGTAGCCCAAGAGTTGGTGGTGGGTGGTGATGACTAGCTACCTTCCCTCTAGTCTTACACTTCTAAATTAGGGATGGCTAGCACAGATAGCCCTCGTGTAGCATTGCGCGAAATTAAAAAAAACACAAACACAAGCCACCATATACAATGCAGCTTCGTCTATTTATTCCTTGTAATGACTGTTTTTATTTCCGTTAGTAAATATTTTAGTTTACAATATAATGTTCTGAAAACGTGAGACATCTCTTCAGGTTCGTAAAAAGCCAGCTACACACAGTTAGTCTGTTTTTTTTTCTAAAACAGTATACATGTTTCTTAAAAATTAGAAGTGTATCAGCTGACATTTTAAAAGTTGTTTAAAGAGCAAATAAAATAATATATTCCGTATTAAAAAAATTGCAAACAAAATTCATAGCATAAAAGACGACGTAAAAAGTAAATAAAAAGCTACATAAGATACATTAATGTTCTACTAGATTATGATTGTTTAGTCTTTACGTTTTGGTTCCAGGATTGCGTTGTTGTTGTGTGTGTAAGCATGAACTGTATTTCTTACTCATTATAATCTTCAAACTTCTGTTCCCGTCACTCAAAACATCATATGTTATTTTCATCTTCATTCGTTTTAAACATCATATTGCATCTTCACCTGTTACCTAAATATTTATTTGTTTTATTTTAGACAAATGTACTGGAGGGATCTTTACATTTGAGAAAATAACAGGTTACGTTTTGAGATCAGCAGTGACTCAAACAATTCCTTTGTCCAATCCTGGAGCTCTAGGGAATACTCTTCAGTGTAAAGAGTTCTGTCAGAACGCCGGACTCAACTGTCCAGCATTTACCGTCAATTACCGTAATATGCGATGTGACCAGTTGGACCGAAACTCGCAAGGTCGGACCCGTGAGTTAGCACCAAGAACAGCTGAAAATTACTTTGAAAGACTGTGCCTAAGAGGTTGGTATAGAACTGAGGTGTGATTAAATATTACCGTTCTTGTAAGTTTGAAAATTCACGAATTTGGGAGTTTTGTTGTTGTAAGCAGAAAATATTTGACTCCATTTCTCCAGATATTTGTACGACACCTGTTACTCTGTAGATATTCCAGAAATTGCTCTATTTTTATTTATTTTCGTAATCTATCACATAGTATTTTTGGAATAATAAATGACTTTCACCTTATACTCTTCAAAATGATTTGTCTCACGCGAGTAAATTTTTCATATTTACTCAAACATATTTTCTTTTTTAAGAAATAAGAATGAAAGCGCGTAGGTTTAGAAATCCTATAAAATATTTTTACTGGAATATGCTTACCCAATCTAGAGTGGTGTGAACCTTTTATATAGAAAAATAATTATTTCACCCAGTGATTTGGTCAGTTATTTACAGTTAATGTTGTAACTGGCAAATAAATAAAATTATCCAATATGATGTAATATGTAAGCCCGTCGACAGCGAGAGATATAAAATCTCATGGGTTATTAGTCATATAATTTCCCAATTTTTTTTAGTCATACTAGTTGACTTGTAAAGTTCGATATCCGTTTATTGTTGTTTGTTTGTTGTAATTTTTGTTATTAGAATGCTAATTCTGGTTTAATTAAACGTTGTTTATTGTTAAAAAAAAAGTTTGAGTTTTACTCGGCCTCAAATTTCACTTTGAAATAAAAAGTAAATTCACAAGATGGAGTGCTACATTCAGTATGTGGAACTAACGTCTAACAAAGGTCAGATATATAATTAAGTTAGACTAATATTTTAATTTTTGACTATATTTTACTTAATAAACTCCCTATAATGAATTTCTCTCTCAAAGGGAACTAAACTCCTGTGTAGACAAGTGAACAGTGTGAGTGTGAATGATATTTAAGTCTTGTAGTATTGTGTTAATGAGATATAATATTCTAATAATTAGAATTATCGATCTTTCCATACAAAAGATTAGAGCCTCAGAACAAAGATAAAAACGCTTGGTCTAATTACACAGGCCTGCGATGGTTTTATTGTCTTGAAATTTTTACATGTTCAATAGGAATTCCTGTACGCTGAATCCGAAAATGATATCCATTTTTCTCCATCACATACAGATTTTTCACAAAAAGTCATAACGCAATACATAAAAGAAAGACCATAACACGTAGTTTTGAGACTAAATTATGTAGATTTCACAACAAAAATTTGGATGAATGAGGATGCAAATTCGTTGGACATCAGTGTTCTTCCCTTTTCTTCAGTTGGTTTGTATTTTTGTTAACAAACATAATAATAGAAAATGTTCATTGTGGTAAACGAAATAATAATTTGATCTAAGTAAGAGGTTTTTTATCTTCCACATTGGTAAAAAATTCTTACGTGATAGAAGAAAATGAATAATATTTTCATAATCTGCGTAGCTGAATTATGGTAAATCCGTTATTAAAACCAAGACAACTTTTATGAAGTTTAAATTCACGTGCCTGTGTTATTAGAAAACGTAAGAATTATTTGTTGCTTTAGAGAAATTCTAATTGTCACTAACTTGTTAAAATGTCTTCTGGCACAAACATAAGAATTATATATATATAGTTCAGCGAAAATTATCCTGGTTTCTTAAAGCTGACTTTCTAAACTTTTATTAGAGCTGATTGTTATTTTATGATAGGTCAGGTGGCGATGACGTGCCAGGATAAAGCGTGGGCTTTCGAGAGAGTCTTAGGATACGAGATGTCTCCTGACTTCTATAAGAAATCTATACCTCTGATCCAGAGCAGGAGAGACTGCGAAGAAGCTTGTTTAAATGAAATTAGTTTCACGTGTCGGTCTGCTTTGTACAATGAGGAGACTACTGAGTGTAAACTAAGTCAGGAAAACAGAAGAACCAGGCCTACGAATTACAAAGCAAATAATAACATAAATATCAACTACTTAGAAAATCAATGTGTCACAGGTTCGTAAACTAGAGATCTGTAAAAAAAATTACGACCTTTAAGGTTTTACTTACGGATTTTCTTGTTCGGAGTATGCACCAGTTCTTAACTGTTTTAATGATCTTTGTAATCAAACACAAAATGTAACTGAAAAATATATCGACTGTATGTTTTCTAGCTCGAACCATTCCCTATTCCTATTGAAGTTTACCTGTGTGTTTTCTGTCTACACATATTCCTTACACCTATTGAAGTTTACCTGTGTGTTTTCTGTCTACACATATTCCTTACCCCTATTGAAGTTTACTCGTGTGTTTTCTGTCTACACATATTCCTTACCCCTATTGAAGTTTACTGTGTGTTTTCTGTCTACACATATTCCTTACTCCTATTGAACTTTACCTGTGTGTTTTCTATCTACACATATTCCTTACCACTATTGAACTTTACTCGTGTGTTTTCTGTCTACAGATATTCCTTACCCCTATTGAACTTTACCTGTGTGTTTTCTGTCTACAGCCATATTTCCGATGTTTTCTATTTTTCAGCTAGTCCATGTCCGTATGAAGAAAAGTCTAATGCTTTCCCCATGTACACTGATGTTGTACAGACGTCTGGAATCACTACCCAGGAGAGCTGTGAGCTGGCCTGCACCACCTACTCTACCTTCAACTGTCGTTCCTTTGCTTTCTACTCCAGCAGTGGACAGTGTTTCCTCAGTGGAGACGATACAGCCAGCGGTAGTCAAGACGCTGCTCAGGGACGTTCAGGAATCAACTACTTCGAGAGGAAATGTCAAGCTGGACAAATACTTCCCACCTCCAGTTCATCCTACACTCCATTCCCTCCCACATCCATTTTTACACCCCCACCAGGTAACCAAATATCTTGGCCGCCCGGTTACCGCCCTCAAGGAGCATCACGTAAGCTAACTTTTATGTTTCGTTTTTTCGTTAGTCTGGTGGATTACCTGTTGCCTGCCTACCAGCTGATCATCATCAAGTGCATGAAGCATGGCTATAACAGTAGCAATGCATGAAAAAAAAGTTCTTATTCTTCTGTAGAAACTCAAATTTTATCATCGATCTAAAGAAAGGCCACTTTCAGCCGAAGAGAAATACTTACAAATACGTGTAATAATAATAATAATATTTAAGTTATAATCAAACTCACCTTCATTTTCATGTGGATTTAACAGATGTATGTTAGTTTCTCTTCGATTTTAACAAAAGTAGTTTATATAATTAATATTTAAAGTCGTCAGTACTTGGTGAAACTCCATAATTACAAAATTGAGGAAAGCTAAGGAATCATCCTTACAGGCGAAACCATATTCGTAATGAGTGAAATATTTGTGAAACGTACAGCTGTCTTTATTTTCCTCAATTCTGTAAAAGTAGTTTTTCATCATCGTTTTCTCCAAATGCAACGTAACAAAACAACAAACAAACAAGGATTCCAATGATTCTTTAGTTTGCTCCTACACTTCTAGATTGAGAAGGTTCGGATAAAAGCACTTATTTAGAATGAGATATCATCTTGTTCACTAAGAAACCATGACAGCGACCATTCCGTTGAATTTTGTTTATTGTAACATAATTATAAAGTGTTGCTTATACGGTCATTTCATTTCTTCCATTCCATTATATTAATTGCATATTTCAATTTCGAAATAAGATTAGTTAAAAAAATCGCATTATTTGTATGTGTGTGTTTTGTTTTAACGCAAAGCCATATTGGCCTATACGCTATGCCTACCATGGGGAATCGAACTCCAGATTTTTACGTTGTAAGTCCATAAACTTACTGCTGAACCACCGGAGGACTTTTAGAAAAAGCAATATGCAACTTTCCGAAAAGGGGTTTAAGTGTTTTAATGGTAAAAACTATAAAATCGATCTTTTTTTTTTGTTTACAGCTTTTAATTAATTTTTTATTACGTGAATTTAACAAGTTGTTGATTTTTTTAAAATATAAGACGATTTTCATGATGTCGAAGAACCAACTTAAAGTAAATATATAGTTGAGACGGCTGATGTTGATAATAAAAACAAAAGACAAGTAACAACGTTTCAACCTGCTTAGGTCATCATTGGATTAAGAATGACTTTGAAACAGTGGCCGTTATTCACCAGGTTGAAACATTGTTACTTGTTTTGTGTTTTAAATAAAGTTTTTGGCCTGGCATGGCTAGGTGGTTAGGGCGGTGGACTCGCAATCTGCGGGTCGCGGGTTCGAATCCCCATCCCACCAAACATGCTTGCCCTTTCAGCCATGGGGATATTATAATGTAACGATCAATCCCACTACTCGTTGGTAAAAGAGTAGCCCAAGAGTTGGCGGTGGGGTGGTGATGACTAACTGCCTTCCTTCTAGTCTTACACTGCTAAATTAGGGACGGCTAGCGCAGATAGCCCTCGTGTAGCTTTGCGCGAAATCCATAATAAACAAACAAATAAAGTTATTAATAACCCATATCAGCCGTCACTGATGAAGGTGCCTATTAAACACTCCATTGAAGTAAAAGTGTTTATCTCAAACCACTAGTGGCACTAACAGTTAATATGAAGTAAAAACGGTATGAATTCATGACAAGGGATCCTCAGTTAATAATATTTCACAGGGAGGTACGTTTTCAACGTCACTATGTTCGCTACTAAAATATATATGAACAGCTTGTCTGTTTAATAATACAAAAGAATAAGTAAGTAGCATCAATGCTACATATTCTTTAAATCTTATATAAAAATAGGTTACTGTGGTGAATAAAAGGAACTAAAAACATGATACATATGATAACGCATTTGATGTCATTTTTAGCTTAGTACCCAAATGCATGACTGTCTATCCACGTAATTCTATCATATCCAAAGTTACTGTCATAATACATAAAGCCTAATATTTTTCGAATTGCCCTTGCCCAGAGTTTCTTATGAGGGGCGAGATTCCCCGAAACTGGTATAACTCAATGACAAGGGGTGAACTGAATGATAGCTGGGGCGACATATGTTAATTTTAGTACATTAGTAATATATTAATTACTAGATAAAGGTTTCTAATCTACTCTCAAT